CTCTTTCCCCCACCTGACCCTATAAATTATATAACTCAAAAATCCTAGATCAGGCTCTGTACAAAAGCCTTACCTATATGTAGGCAAAATATTATTATTATAGAAGCATTTTCCACATAAAATAAGAATATTTGTTTAATTTCAAATGGGTTGTCGACTGGAGTTTTTTCATTGCATACCTAGTACAGTCCCTGAAAGCAGGTATCTCTTCTTAGTGCGGCACCATATAGGTAGATACCAATCACCACAGGTAAATTTGACGCCCAGTTTCCTCCCTAGAGGGAGCCACCTGAGCTCTGACGAGGCAAACCTGCACTAGGATTTAATTTTGCCTAGAGCACTCCCGAGTAAAAGAAGACTATTTGAAAATATATAATTCATTCTTCATTTTTTATAAAAAAAATTACATTTAAATAATTTCTTCTCGTAATAATGTTCTTAAAACAATTTTATGTGTATATTCCAAATCAATTGACACAAAACATCAAAAAAAAATTATTCATTTATATACCTTTTCAAAATCCCAATTTCGAATGCAGTCAATCACCTTATTGTCTGAAACAAACTAAAAAACTTTAACAATATCTATTTATCTACGTCCCCTATTTCAATAAAATCATTTATAGCTTTATTAAGCACTCTTTTATTTCATAGTACCTTCTTTTAACCAATTCACTGCATTGATACAAAATCTCTAGCCTTTTTCTGAATGAAAAATAGCCAAGACCGAAAAAAGCAAATCCCGTCTATAGGTATTTTTCAAGGTCTTGTCTACTCTATTTACAAGCCATTATTTCCATTGTACCAACTGATCAGACATCCATTCCACTTTGCACATAATACCTCTCCTGAGATGCACACATCCAAAAGGAGCAATTTTCATGGCACTCAGCCAAACAGCGGATTCTCTAAATTACATCGAAGGGACAGTTATTGAATCCATGCAGAGGTCAGTGGCATTCCCAGTGACATCCCCATGGCATTAACACCTTTCACCCAGACGAGGTATACTGATTGTTCGTGGAAAAAGGTGGATTTTTTGTTACTTTTTTTGTAGATTGTGATGCTGGATTTGTTTCTTGCTTCTTCAATAAAGAGTTCAGTGTTTTGTTTTCTGAAAGAAATGGCGCTCTCTGCGTTTTAGGGAGATGAATATATGTTTGTAGATTAAAAATAACTGATACCTTTGTAGAGTAAAAATAATCATTTAATGCATTTTTATCATTTGTATATATGATATATCCGTTTGGATTGAAGTAATGTCGTTTTTAAGCAAAAATAAAGATATTGCTAGCTCTATTTGTCATTTTAACCTGTAATTGCTGGTGTATTTTTTTCATTGTTGTTTTTATTTTGAAAATAAAGTTCCTTCCTTCCATATAAATATTTCATTTTCCTAAAAGTCGATTTAGCTGTATTTTGGAGGTAGAAAAGAATGAATTTTAGTTATATAACTTTTGGCAAAAAAAGTTTAGCAAATCAAGTTATATTTCGTTTACGCAACGTGTGGTCCATTAGACAGTACCACAAAGAGTTAGCGTTATATTATTGTTGCACTTTAAAGCTACACGAGAGCTATTGGCGACGGACCACGTCATTTTGATGTAAGTGCGGACTTAGTTGCTCGTCTGTATGCTGCTTGTAAAGAGTGTTTTTTTTCCAGGTATAGAAGTTTTAGTTGGCATTACTTTCCAAGATGGCGACCGATTTAACAGCTGTCAAGTGATTTATTCTCAGTTTGGTTTGGCAATTCATCAAAACGATCATCAAGCAAGGCGTAGATTCGTCGAATGGGCCCAAAACGAGATTGCCGTTGTTCCCGATTTTCATAAGCGAATTTTGTTTAGCGATGAAGCGCACTTCTAGTTGAATGGCTACGTCAACAAACAAAACTGCCGCATTTGGAGTGAAGCTAATCCACAAGTGTATGTCGAAACACCATTACATCCAGAAAAACTTACTGTTTGGTGCGCTTTATGGGCTGGTGGAATCCTTCTTCAAAAACGAGGAAGGCCACAACGTTACAGTCAATGGTGATCGGTATAGAGCCACGATTACTAACTTTTCATTCCTGAATTGAACAATCATGATGTCCAGGAGCTGTGGTTCCAACAAGACGGCGCAACATGTCACACAGCTCGTACCACAATCGATTTATTGAAAGACACGTTTGGTGACCGCCTAATTTCCGTTTTGGCCTCCACTTGTGATTTAACACCGCTAGACTATTTTCTGTGGGGCTATGTAAAGTCATTGGTCTATGTGGATAAGCCACAAACGCTTGTCCTTTTGGAAGACAACATTCGCCGTGTTATTGCCGATATACGGCCACAAATGTTGGAAAAAGTCATCGAAAGTTGGACGTCCAGATTGGACTACATCCGAGCCAGCCGTGGCAGTCATATGCCAGAAATTATATTTAAAATGTAATGCCACATACATCATTGTTTTATTGCAATTTAAAGTTCTATACCTCTAAAAAAACACCCTTTACTTCGGTGGATCGTCCGTATGCGATTTGTGTAATCATCCATTCCACTGCGCTTTCAAGTTTGCATCGCTATGCACGGTGGACGCTCTAGACATCTGCCTTTAAAAATGTTTGCCAATACTGCTATTGATGTGTCCAATACGGCTGTGACGTCATACTTGGTTTTTCGTATTTTTCTCGTAAACTATGAATCGTACAGATACACTCATTTGAACTATTTTTATGTACTCCCAACGAGAAATCTGGCTGTGGTTCGGGTGCCATTTTTGGGACACCCTGTATAACGTTGGCTGAAGTGAAAATTAAAAACATATTAAACGGGGGGTTTGTTTGTCTTTTTTGTACTTTTCTATTCGGTTCTTCCACTATCTTCTTGGGAAAACCATTCTTTAAGGCAGCGTTTCTCAAACTGTGGGGCGCGCCACCTAGGGGGGGGTGATAACTTTAAAAAGGGGGCGCGAGCATATTGAAAAGTCGAAAACAAAAGATTATTTTAAAAAAATATTTATTTACTGAAAGTAAGCAAACAAATACATTCTGACATAATAAAAAATAAAATACACATTTACACTGATATAATACACTTATAAATAAATCAATACTGCACATAATGTATTTTACAATTAGTTTAACAACACTAAGTTAAGAACAAGTTTTATAATTAATGACGACCCCATGGGCTTGCCAAATTAACACTTATCTTGATAGTTTGTACGGATGCCACCGTTTTCCACATAAGCTCGCGTATGTAATGTATAGGGGGCAATAAGCAAATTCTCTGAAATGAGTAAATCCTTCGCAAACACTGCCAATGTCCTTTTATTGCATTTCAAAGCCTTCGGAATTTTTTTAGGGAATGCAGTGAACAGAAGGGATTGTACTTCGGAAAGACGTATACATACGTCTGGGGTAATGGACGCTTTGCCTGAGTGAGACGTTTATATACGCCAGCGACACTTAAGAGGTCAAAGTGGTATTACAGATTTTGCTTCAAACTATAGTATCATTGAATTCAATACATTGTTATTCTATAGAAGGGGGACGCGATGAAAATTCTGATTGAATATAGGGTCGCAAGAATTGAAAGTTTGAGAAACACTGCTTTAAGGTATCCGACTACGTTCGAAACCATGATTTTTTTATAAAAACGCATAAATGGGTAATTTTCATGATATCTAGCATCACTTAGATTAGAATACACGTATAATTTTGTTTTAAGTACATTATGACAAAAAAATTTCTTAAATAGAATATTTTGGCAAAAAATTAACTTACAATAGCCTTTCTTCAAAACGTTCTCCTTTTATAAAAAATGCTTCTATATTAATAATAATTTGCTTAGATAAAGTAAAGACTTCTCCAGTGAGCCTGAAATAGGATTTTTGAAAAATTAATATTTTTTTCCAGAGATATCACCCATCGAAATAATTATCGGCGTTTTTTTCTTAAAATTTATCCCCTCTGTTGTAGTAAAATATGGATAAATCCACTTCTAAGTTATAAGTTTAAAAAATTCTAGTTCAGTCTCTGTACAGAGATCTGAGCTATATACAGGCAAAATATTATTATAATAAAAGCATTTTTCATAAAAGGAGAATGTTTTGAAAATGGGTCATTTTATGTTCATTTTCTATCAAAATAGTGTACTTAAATAATTTTTTATTCTAATAATATTCTTAAAACAATTTTATATGCGTTTTCTAATCTAAGTGACACTAAATATCATAAACATTATCCATCTATGCGCTTTTGCAAAATCACGGTTCCAAACGTAGTCGGATACTTTAACTGTGACTTTAGTTTAAAAACCGCTTTCCGTAGAGTTGATTTTATGCCAATCTAACTACTATTTAAGTGCCTATGATTGAGTATGCGAGTTAATGGTTAAGCGTTGACTGTTTAACTGAATTGCAAGTGTTAGTAAAAGTAAAGAGCATCTGGTGGTCGCGCATCTTAAGGTTAATATTCAACTGAGAAAGGTTAATATTCAACTCCAAAGTCCACTTCTGAGAGTCCATCAGAAGTGGACTTTGGAGCTGACCATACTATCGGGCTTCAAGAAGGATCATACAAGGAGCTTTCCACTCCAGATAAATACCCTCCATAATTTAGTTATCTGATTACGGGATAGGATTTCATATTGCTTCCAGACTTAATTTATAAAAGTGTATTTCGTTAAGTGCTGAAGTTTAAATAAAATTAGTTATTCCTATAATCATGTCTGCTTCTTCTTTAAACCCTCTCACAACCGCGACCTTCGGACTGCGATAGCTAGAGTAAACAATATTTTTAAAAAATTAAAAGTCAATTCCTTTTTAGGTCAACAAAGAAATTTTTTATTTTAGATACTTTTTTAATAAATAATTACATTTAATATAAATATATATATATATACATATGACAGAGTCACAACACTAAGTGGCAAAAACGAAAGCAATTTTCCTTTATATATATGGTGTTGGACTATTATTTTTGTTTGTTACTATTTATTCATTCAGAAATTATAAGCCCTCTCAAGTAGGATTCGAACCCACGACCTTTGGAATTGAAGTCCAACGCGCGATCCATTGCGCTACAGGGATTCAACGAGCGATTTTCCTTTTATATAGGGTGTTGGACTATTATTTTTGTTTGTTAGAACCTATTAATTAATTAATTAATATTTGAAAAAACTGTATTAACATGTGTGAAGTGTCATCCAGTACAAGTTTAAAGAATGTATATGAACTTGAGTGGATGAAAATAGAAAGTATTTTATTAACAATTGAAAATTAGAACAAGATATATATATATATATATATATATATATATATATATATATATATATATATACTAGCTGGTATACCCGTTCTTCGCACGGATGAACTGAAAAATTAAACAACACAGATTGAAGGAAAAAAAGTTTTTAATGAGTTAATTTTATGTGAATTGCTAATTAAACAAAAAAAGCTTTTTGCATATCTCAGCAAAACAAATAAAGAAAAGAAAACACCTTTGTTAAATTTTAACTATGTAGATCTAGTAGCTGATAAAAAGATTTTTTTTTATTTATAATTCCTCGTAACATTCTTGAGGGTCTATTTTTTAAAATACCTCCCTAAGCTGATCTCTGCTCAGCAAAAGTAACACATTGTTAAAAGCTTTGCGTAATGAACGCTTAAAGTAGTGTAAATAATTTATATCTGAAAGTGACATTAATATTACTTTCTGTTGTATTTATTCTATTTAAAATTGTAATATTCGCAAGCAACGCCGTTTCTTAAATTATAATGGCGATTCAATGAAAAACATAGCGAAATGTTAACGATATAGTCAAGTTGGCAAATGCCTAGCTACTTTCGTACCTCGAGCTTTATTAGAGCTTTGTAAGACCCGCCGTGTAGGGGTACAATGCACTTTAATACTTTATCCAACCGCATTATGATTTACTGCTGTTTTTTTCATACAATATTTTTTTATACTCCACTTCGGAAAATTTAATCCGTTAGAGCTAATAAATTAATTAAAGATATTCCACTGCAAAATTAATTATATACACCGTCCACTTAAAATAAGTAGTGAAATTATTTTCCAAGGTCTTCACTAACATACAAAAACATAAGACACTTAAATTTTGACATAAACTATTTTTTCGGGACAAAAATAATAATCTTTGCAATCCGCTGAAAACGCAATATCTGCTACAAAACTATTCGGCTTCCCCGCTAAAATACTCATCATAGAGCCCGTGCTGCCATATATCTTGGAAGAGTGGATTTCAAAGAATATTCCTGCTAAGTTGGTGTGGTGTGGTAGTTAGGAGAAGGGGGTGCCAGCTCAGGTGTCGTCCACGTCACTTGACCACGGTTCAAAATTACGTGATCCGTTGCCAAAAGCCCTCGTGTAGCTGAACAGTGCGATGTTAATATTCAGTCACTCACACACTCCAAAAAATACAGTACAGTAGTTATAATTATTTTTATACTTAAAAACACAATATCTGCCTATTCAATTAAAATTATAGCGTTATAATTAACTACTAACCACAAACAAATTTTGAAAATTTGTCCAAATGATGCAGTGTGAAAGAGAAAGTTTATTTACTTTAAGTGCTAGAACCGATAAAAGCATTTATTTTGAAAAAAGATAAATTTCTTGCTACCAAATGTGCATAACAAAATCATAAAAAAACATTAAAATGAAGATAGATTTATAACAATCTCTCCCTTTTTAAAACTTAGTTTTATTCTGAAATAAAAAAAAATAGGCATTATTCTGATCACAGGAATTAATTGAAGCGAGCCCATTGCGTAGCCAAAACAAAAAGAGTTTTTCACAAACAAAAGTTAGATATATGCTGTTGTGGGCTTTTTTGCAGCGCAAGCCAGAATTGCTTGTAGATGGCAGAAATTTTTTACACTTACTTGACAAATATCGTTATATTTTGGACACTTTTTACAAATTTTTATAACTTATAGTCTATGCTATAAATTATAGCCTATGTGTTATTCTGATGTATAAGCTATATTACTGTAAAGTTTCATTAAAATCCGTTCAGTTGTTTTTGCGTGAAAGACCCACAAAGATTTTCACAAACTTTCACATTTATAATATATATATAGGGAAAGTGTGAATCTAACAATTTCTCTTGCAATTTTCCATTATGTATTTGATGCTGGACTATTATTTTTGTTTCTTACTATTTATTCCTTAATTATGTTTAACTAATGAATTAATATTTGAAAAAAACTATTTACATCAAGTGTCATCCACTACAAGTTTAAAAAATGTTTTTGAACTTGACTGGATGAATTAACGATGAATTTTATAAACGATATTGAAAATTTGAACAAGATATAATTATATAGGGAGATTGCGAACTCTCTCTCTCTCTCTCTGATAGTAGGAATTGAAAAATACTTCTCTTTCTGTGTCTCTATATCGATTTTATTTAAGTAAATCTCAATTAAGAATAGATTTCAAAGATTAATTATTCAACCTTTAGTCATAATCCCAATTTTTCGGCACAGAAGAAACATACACAGAAAAAAATGGGGGGAGGGGGACACATCCCCCATTTCTTATTTCCACTCATTTGGGTCATGAATTTCTCCGTCATCTTTAATGGTCGATACATTTTTTTTCTTCGAAAAGTACTCCCCGAAAAACCCACCTCCGCTTTACGTTGACGTACGTCAAAACGTCCGCGTTTCCATGACAACAGGTGACTAAGAAAAAGCCAAGAGTGTCGGTAAAGGGACTTATTTGTTGTGGTCATTTGCAAAACTTACGTAAAACCGACTCAACTGTCCATTGCCCCCTGCCACCCTTGGTTTTGACAGCGGAAGGGAGTGACGCCGGATTGAAGACGTGATGTGTGTGTATTAAGAGAAAATACAAGGAAGTTAAAAATGGTTATGGTTTATGGCAACATAATGTACAGGAAAAAATATGTTTTTGTATGCATAAAGGGTAATGGGGAAGAGAGTTAAGTAAGCTTATAAGATACATAAAGGTTTTTAGCCTCGCGTATAAATATAATTTAAACGAAAGCTCGTGAATTTTTATTTTTTGAAGTGAAACGAATTAATTCTCCGTATAAGGATTGATATTTTTTTTAATGCATTGTTCTTATAACTTCCGTGTTTTAATGAAACAAATATCACTTCGGGATAATCTGCAACCATACGGTTAAGTGCGGTTATGTCGTAGCGAAATGACGAAATCAGGAATTTGATCAAATCCCTAAGGGATAGGATCAATTGACGGGAGATGTTAAAATAACGTCTCTTCAAAGTCATTTTCCTGATGAAAGTAAGGGATTTGAACAAATCTGTGATATATTTCAGTAAAATGATGAAATGAACTAGTCAGTATTTGCATTGGTAAAATGCTATCCAGGGGGAGGAACCTGGGGGGTCAAGTCCTTGTACTTCTTAACTAAACAGGCAGTAGTATCGATCCCCCAAATATCAAACCCATATCATTAAAAAAATGGCACCATAGGATTAACTGGGGAATTGATATTTTAGTGCGTAAGCCCTCCCCTGCCCTAAGCAGGTCATCATTAGTAAAAAAACTATGAAGGGGAAGGGACAGGCCAAATCGATCGACGCCACCGCGCGCTTCCCCGGATTCCTGTAACACATTTCCTTCCCTTTGCACAAAATCACTCCCACAAATATCCAGCAACCGAGAGAAAAAGTGCTACTCATAAAAATTATCAGCCTTATTTTCTAATTATTTGTTAATTACTTTCGAATAAATAACTTGTATTTCATCGACTATTGTTGTATTACTTCTCCACGTTTAATAATGCACTTTATTTGTTAAATAAACACTTTTAAACTCTTGACAATGTTATTCATCATTTCACTGAAACAGATCAGGGATTTGTTAAAATCCCTTACTTTCATCAGGGAAATGACCTTGAAGAGACATTATTTTAATATCTCTCGTCAATTGGTAGTATCCCTTATAGATTTGATCAAATTCCTAATTTCGTCGTTTTTCCTGCAACAGTTACACTGATTATTGTATACTTAGTATATGATTTTACATAGAATTTTAATATAAATTCCATCTTAAGCGTAATATGTTAAATTTCCATTCTGCCTACAATTTTGAATTCGATAAAGACAATGCGCATGCTCAGACTGTGGTGCCGTATAACGGTCATATTTCAAAATGGTACTTATACCTAAAAAAGAAAAGAGAAAAAGATAGAAATAACAAACGTAATTTAAACTTATTTATATTATTATCCTTACTATTTTACTTTTTTATTTTGATTTTACGTATTCATTCTGTTTTACTTTGACTTTTGATGTTTTATTTTTTAACACGAATTAAAACTTTAAAACTGTGAATGTAACCTCTACTTAAAAATAGTTTTAAAAACTTACGTTCTTTTCCCAGAACTATATTATTTACTACTTTAAGTTAAAAAATCACAAAACAATGAAATAATTTAATACTATTTAGAGCTATGCCATCCAGCCAATGCGTTTATTGAAATTTTAGAAACTAAAGACAACAAATAGGAAAATAAGAGAGGAAAAAAGATAAAAACGCATGATATTACCAAAACGTGTTGTTTGCTTCGATTAAGTCTAAAATATCTGAAGAACATCTATCCTTATATAAATAAAAAAGTTTTCCGTGACGCTGGGATAAATTCATAACGTACAACCGCAACAAAGCCAACTTTCAAGATAACTCACCAAATTGGCAATCCCGATTTTGCATGTGACGTACGTACTGAATTGGCAACCATGTGCTTCATTTTATATGATGTGGGTAATACGGTTTCGATAGTACATTATCGCAAACTCTCGCAGAAAAGTAAAGGAACGATTGCCTGGACTGGTATGGTTGCGTGAGAAGAAATGGCGCTGTGTCGTACGAAGATTTATTAACAGTCAACGGAATTAAATACCCAATTTAAAAGGAAGATGCGGGTTTATAGGACATTATCAATGTAGTGTTGAACAATGCAGCTGCAGTGATAAATTTAACTAAAGAACAAATTTCGCAAAAAAAAAGAATAATTAAATAGAACTACGTAATATACCATGTAAATTACAGTTTTACAATTTGCGCA